GACATACATATGTATATAAATATTATGTATGTATTGGAGTGCAGCGCTAGTACCCAGTAAGCATTTAGGATTAAGTTAAATTCGATGTTAAATTCAGAACAACAATAACTCATTTATAAAAAAAAAACCAAACGTGTTTTGTTTTAGTCAAAAGGCAGGCATTTATAAAGAACCAAACAAGTTTTGTTTCAGCTAAAAGTCGGGCAATTAAGAGTAAGGCATTCATAAAAAACCAAACGTGTTTTGTTTTAGTCAGAGTCAGGTAATTATAAAAAACCAAACAAGTTTTGCTTTAGCTAAAAGTCGATCAATTAAATGTAAGGCATTTATAAAAAACCAAACATGTTTCGTTTCAGTAACAGTCAGACTTTTATAAAGAACCAAACAAGTTTTGTTTCAGCTCAAAGTTGAGCAATTAAAAGTAAGGCATTTATAAAAAAAAAACATGTTTTGTTTTAGACAGAGTTAGGTATTTATAAAAAACCAAACAAGTTTTGTTTTAGTTAAAAGTCGATCAATTAAAAGTATGGCATGAAAATCAAAACACTTTTTTTTTTTTTTTTTTTTTTGAAAGTAAAACATTTATGAAAATGAATCTTCTAGCATCTGCACTATGCGTTAAAAATGATGATGCAAACGTGGCCATGTTTTGAGCTTTAAGACAAGACTATGGTGACCACAAACGTCCAGCTACTTGTGTCCTTGGTCAGGTTTTAAAGAAATGTGAAGAGACCGGATTCGTTACAGTTATTATAAGGCCAGTGCATCATCGTTTTGCTTGTTCCACCTCAAATATCACTACTCGTAAGTGAAAATGTAGCCGAAGAGCCGAATGTGTATATATCTCAACGATCTCAAGGGCTGCGACTTTCTTACGGCACATTATGTTGTATTTTGTCTACATCTATGTAAAGTCCAGTTCGCACAACAACTGAAGCCAACTGACCACCATTCATAACGCCGCACATACGTCGAAAAAAATTTTCGGCCGCGACGAGACACACTTCTCACTCGGGGTATACGCAAATCAGAAAATTGTCTCATTTGGAGTTTCGATGCATTTTATTCGTGTTTTATTTCTGAACCGCAAAATCGATAGCCCTATTCTATGTGAGGTTCAGAAGTTTAAGAATTTCCACAGACAAGGCAATACAGGCATCTCCGGTCATCAAACAAAGGAGGAAGATCTCTACCCAGTTGTAAAGTGATCTGGCTTCTGTTGGTATTGTTGATCGGCTATAATCTCGTAAGCAGTGCCGCCTGGTTCAATGAAACAGAAGAAGAGGAAGTGTAGTGCAGAACATTCTTACAATGCAACCAAACAGATCTGGATCGAGTCTAATATAACAAAATCTCTGCTCCTCCTAAAAAAGACCTTAATTTGCTTAATTTGAATATCCTACATCCACCATCTTGGCATGACTAACATCCAGAATGTAGACGCCCACGCAAAAATCACAACGCTTAAAAGCGTTCGCGTGCGTTTTTACTCTTTTGAATGAAGAAAGAGATAGTGTATTGAGTCGAATTGTTACTGGAGACGAAACTTAGTCTCATTATTATGAACCTGGGTCGGAACAAATCTTCAGACAGTGTCATAAAAAGTGCACGAGAAGGTCTCACAAGAAGTTCTAGACGTCGCAGTCAGCTATAAAGCTCACGGCAATATTATTTTGGGACTCGATTGTAAAGATAAAGGTGTTTCTAAAGCTGGAGAACATTGCGCTTAAATATTAAAGCGACTCAAAGTAGTCATTAGGACGCCGCGTTCCGTTGGCTGCTCTGCTTTAGATGGGTTTCGATATTTTAAATCACCTACGCTAGAGCCCAGACCTGGCGTCGCGTCATTATTAACTAATTCTAAAAATGAAAATCAAAAACTGAGGGATAAAAAATGTATCACCGATAATGAAGTCAAGGAAGCAGTTTCGTCGTAATTTCAAAATAATTAAAAATTAATAATTTGCATGAGAGTGAAAAGAAATTTATTGAAGAATCTGGAAAATATATCAGTTTTACGGTTGAATATATTGAAAAGGAAAAACAATTTAATTTTTTTTCTTTTCACCCCTTATTGCCTATTCAATAATCTATGTATGTAAACACTTCTCAAGTGTTGGAAAGTGTTATCTAGAAAAATAGCATTTCAATAAAGAATTGTCACAAAAAGTAATGTTTTTAAAATTTAAAAAGAAGCAATCTGGTTTTTTTTAACACATTTCACATATTTTTTCCATTCAATTTTGTTTTTCGTATTATTTTTGTTCCAATTCACTTAAGTATACACCTCACTTTTATCATCAGTTGACATTATCGCTGATTTGTTGTTGAAATTTGTTAAGTATGGCAGTGAATGACATTAAATTTGAATTCCTTCATATATTTACATATACATAAGTATAAATGGTGTATATATAAATTTGTATTTCATTAGCCACTTATTTTTCTAATTTTACGGTCTTTAATTTATGATCAAATTTACAAATTAAGTGCCTTAAGCTGTTGCGAAAGGCTTCATACTTGATTACCGTATGATAAGTTGCTATAAACATAAAGTGAAAACACTAAATGGAAATAATTGTTAAATATGAACATATTTTGAATGTGAAATAAATCATTTATATACTAGTATTTCTAAGCAATATTTAAATAAATAGTTTTGCTGTGGAGAGGAACTAATATTTTTGGCTCATATGAAAGTCGAGATTCGCCAGGAAGTGGAAATTTGCGTATTTATTTTTAATTAGTTCATTTTAAAAGAAAATTGGTGCATCGGCAACTTTTTGTCTAAATTAATATATGGAATTTTTTTTTCGGGGAATTTACCCTGTGGTCTGTCTTTTAAAAAAAAAGTACCTATACTTCGGTTTTTATTGAAAAGGTGGAACACATAGATCATATTATATTTGCAATATTTATGGTTTGATTAGTTTTTCCATGGTTCTCCAAATGTGGCAGTTTTTTCTTGTCTTTTTAAATCATTATATTTCAGCAAAAAATTAAAATTCTAATTTTCTGAAAAGCAATTATTCATTGGACTAAAATTGAGTTAAGGAAAAGAGCTTTGGAAGGTTTTGAGGTACCAGTTCTTGAACCAAGAGCACTTTATAACATTTCATACTGAGGACTTTATGTAAAATCTTGCCCACAAAAGTAAGTGTATTTAATTTAATTTAATTTAATTTAATTTAATTTAATTTAATTTAATTTTATTTAATTTAATTTAATTTAATTTAATTTAACTTAATTTAATTTAATTTTGACGGGATCGCAGAGATAATTCAATATTTATTCAGAGATAAACTACAAGTTGATCTTCACTCCACGAGGTTTTAATCCAGAAGAAAGTTTTAAGTTACAAAAAGAATAAAAGAACAAAGCATAGACTAATGATTATACATATGAGAAAATGACAGTATATAAAGAATAGAATGACATGCATAGTGTTAGGTAAACGAATATCTCCAACAAATTTAATTTAATTTAATTTAATTTAGTTTAATTTAATTTAATTTAATTTAATTTAATTTAATTTAATTTAATTTAATTTAATTTAATTTAATTTTATTTTATTTTATTTTATTTTATTTTATTTTATTTTATTTTATTTTATTTTATTTTATTTTATTTTATTTTATTTTATTTAGTTTAACTTAATTTAATTTAACTTTATTTTTTTATAATATTTTTTTGAATTTCATTTTATATTAAATAAAGTAACATTTTTTGCAAATAAACTGCATATTTTCTGCTTATCTCAAAATCTCTTATTCAGAAAAATCTGAAAATAATTAGGATTAAAAAGAAGAGCGCCGTTAGTGTAATTGCAAAATAATATCAGATAGAGTCAACGAGGCGATACGGTAGCGAAGAGTACTCAAGCGTAACAATTTTAATCATTTCACGGTTATTATCAACGTATGTAAACATTATTAGGTTTTAACTATACAAACAAACATGAAAATGCTCGTAGTCTGTGAAGCTTTCAGAAGCGGAAATACATACATATGTATTAATATTATAAAATACATTATATTTTCTACGTAATTTGGTAACAATGAAAAACGCAAATACAAAATATATCTGAGAGCTGAATATGAATATGCTTGGAAGGGGTACGGTAGGGTAGACCTATTGGGTTGGATTGATTTATAGCCTGGCAATCATGAAGAATATTATGGCTTAGATATTTGCAAAAAATCTTCGCTTCCAGGATTACAGTTTATGTTAGAGATGAACTCTACCAAATTTGTTTTCTTGAATATTAAAGTAGCATACGAAATTGCTAGAGAGAATGCCTGTACAAAACGGCATACCCTAATTTAGTGCATATACATATGTCATTTACCTAACGAGTAAAGCACGAGAGCAGTGTACAATTAAGTTCGAACAATGGGAGCAATTTCGAAATTCATACATCGACGTATAATTCATATGGGAAATATGCAAATATTAAAATTAAAATGAAAAATAAATTAATAAATAGAAAATGCCACTGCGAAAACGTTAAAGGTCAGTTCTAAATATAGATAAACATACATACATATGTATGTATACAAATGTTTGACGTGAAGTGAAACGATGATCCATTATGAGAGCGGCAAGAGCAAGAACAACAATGCATGAGTATTTCTGTAGAATTTGCAAATAATAAAATGTATTATTATTATTAATATTTTTTTTTTATTAAATAATGTAGCAAAAACAAATCATATTAATGAAATGTCATTAAAACGAAACACACAACAAAATTGTGATTGCGATTTTTTGTTCCTTTAGAAGTGTACACACTGAATAGATCAGCGAAAATATAATAATTTTTAACACGAAAATTATTTTGTGCATTTAATGAATTCAGTTGGGGATCGATCGTCAGCGAATACGGTATAATTTTGTTTAAAAAAGGAAATATTTTCAGGCAAAAAACGCTATGTGAAACAGCAAAAATATATGTAAAGAAAGTGGATTCAAGGAAAAATAATTAAAAATAAAAACAAAAATAATAATTAAAAATTAAAATAATTAAGGATATTAAAATTAAATTAATTAATAAATTGTGCAAACAATGCTTGCAAAACGCAAATTCGCCAACTCGCTACTTTTCATTTTCGCACTCTGCCTACTCGCGCCGCGTACCGTGCACAGTGCAGAAGCATATGATGACGACACAGAAGACGCCAGCACAGTAGAGGAAAGCGTCGAGCTCAGCCTGCTATCGGCCGAAGTTATTGACGGCATACGAGAGAACACCGCTGAGACCACAACGACCACAGCGACCTCAACGATGAACTTAGAAACTACAACCACAACAACACAACTGGCGAACGATGTTGAAAAGAGAAACGATTACGAAGATATTCGTCCACAATTGCGTTACATCAAAACACTGGATGATAATTGTCTGGAGGGCTTTTGTTACAATTTCCACTACGGCGACCTGAATGAGGTGGCCTTTTTCGATGTGAAAACCGAAGTGCGCATCAATAAGGACGAGACCACCTATGATATTGTGAATGCGCGTAATTATGATACGCTCGTTTTTGAAAATTCAACATTTGCACGTTTTCCACTACATCTCTTCTATGCGGTGAGTGTTAAGGAGTTAGATGTGCGTAATTGTTCCATAAAAGCGGTGACGTGGGAATGTTTCTTAATGGCACAAGGCTTACGTATACTGCTGCTCTCTAACAATCGCTTGGAATCAATCGAACCGGGCACGTTCGACTTTGCCAACGATCTGCAATATCTTTTTCTCGACTCGAATCGCTTAAGCAATTTGCAGCGTGAAAGTTTTAAGGGTCTCACACAGTTACGTTATTTGGAAATGAGTCGCAATCAATTGACAGAATTACCGAATGGTCTATTCGATACGCTCACCGCTTTGGAGGAGCTACGTTTGGATGATAATCGTTTGCGTAAGCTTACGAATAAAATTTTCCCCAATAATTTAAATTTATTAATACTATCGGCTGGTGCTAATCGACTAGAGGAAATAGAAGATCACACCTTTCGACGACAAGATAAGCTCATCATTCTGGATGTCACAAATAATCCGGAGCTGCGCACGCTCGTCTTGTTGCTGCAGTTACAGAATTTGGCAGCCTCCAATTGTGCGTTGACACGTGTCAATATTTACGGTTATGTGCGTAATGTTGACCTCAGTAATAATCGCATAACAGAGTTGTACTTTGCTCAACCCGATGTACTCACGACATTGTCACTGCGCAACAATTCGCTCGAACAGATTGCCTCGTTGTCCCGTGCAACAAACTTACAAGTCCTCGAATTGTGTGATAATCCCAATATGAGCACGCTGCCCTCACCATGGCTCGCCAATTCCTTGACACGCTTGAATCTCGGCAATACTGGCTTGAAACAATTACCCGTCGAGGCCATCGCCGAGCAAACACAACTTATATATCTCAATGTCTCGCACAATCACTTGCGCGAGATCAATCCGCAGAACTTTAAATATTTGGAGAATTTAACGCGATTCGATATACGTGGCAACGACTGGAATTGCTACAATTTGAATGTACTCATGGATATGCTATTAAAACCGCATGCAATTATCTATGGCAATGATGACATGGATGCCGAATTCCCGGGTGAATACATCAATGGCATTGCTTGTATGTATCGCATCGAGAATTGGTCAGTGGATGACTCAGCAGCGGCTGCGGGTAGTGACCAGCAAACGATGGAGTCGATGGGGAATACGGTTTTTCGTTTGGCACAATTACAGAAACAACCACAGGAAGAGGTGGAGAGTTTACGTAGAGAGCTGAAAGCTATTGTAAGCATTTATGAGCAAAAGTTCGATCGTGCCTTTCAGTTGATCGAAGACTTGAATGCGCGTCTGCGTGCTTTTGAGAACTTGAATGCAACACTGTTCCAACATGTTACGATAACGGTTTAAAGGCTGTTTTGAAATTAAAATTTTTATAAAGTAAAGAAATAAATTAAATATTACATTACATTAATATGGATATCACACTGAGGAGCATAAATTAGGCTTAATGAGAAGATAATTTTAAGCAGCGTTGCCACATGTAAAAAAAACTTATTTCAAATAATTGATTTGTTACATTACATTTTATACATTAATATATGGTATTAAAGTAATATTTGAAGAGCTTAATGGTGAGGAAATTTTTTGGGAGGAGAGTTGCCACCAGCTTGTAAAAGTTAGTTCAATTTAGACAATTTCTGATTAATTGAAATGTTATATTGAGGATGCTGAACTCAATGGAATTTCAAAGGATTACAGCGACAAATATTTCCGAGGGTTGCCACCTTTTCAAAATTTTAAATACAATCAAATTTTAAAAATTATAAGTGATGAAATGCGGGTATGAAACAGAAGAGCACAAATAAAAGCTTAATGACAATATAATTTTGAGAAGCGTTGCCACATTTAAAAAAAATTTTAAGGAATCGATTTGTTTTATGACTAATTTTTCGTTAATAAAATAAATATATGGTATTCGCGTAATATTTAAATAGCTTAATGGTGTGAACATTTTTTGTGGGGAGTTTCCATTAGTATGGAAAATTTTAATGTAATTAAATTGGCAAATTAAATGAAATCTCCCATTAAGGATACTTAACTCATGGGATTTTCGCTGTTTTACAGTAAGAATTAAATTAATTTTTCCAATTGCGATCTCCCCTAGGCAGGAGCTCGGCCGAAAATAGCTTAAGCCATTACAAAGCTCCAATTATATATATATATATATATATATATATATATAATATAAACGAGTATACGTATGCTGCAGTGGAGAGAAAAGAGGCTGGAATAAAAAAGCTAGGCGTGAGTATAAAGAGGTGCAGAAGGCCGACAAGGGTAATGTTCGAGAATTTTCCGAGAAGATGCGATGACTTACAGAAGGTTTCAAGACCGGAGCAAACTCTTGTGTGACCCAGAGAGGTGATCTAGTGACTGATACTCAGAGCAAACTAAATTTATGGAGAGAACACTTCTCCAGCCTACTGAATGGGAGTGAAAGTGCAACACCAGGAGAACTGATAAAGTGCATGCATCAGCTTCTTTGCGGAATATTGTCGGACAATTGGAACCTAAGTGTGCTCTGCCTGATCCACCAAAAGGGTGATCCCACAGTGTGCGCCAATTAGAGAGAGATAAGCCTCCTCGATAACGCATATAAGGTCCCATACGCTTAAAGTCGCTCATCATTTCCATCTGCTATTTGGTGCAGAGGCGTGTACGATAACAAAATCTGATGAGTCTGTGCGTTAAGAATTTTCGAGAGAAAGGTTTTGTATAATAGTTGGAAACATCGAATAGCGCAGCCGATGGAACGATGATCTCCACAAGAGACAGCGGCTACCCTGGCTAGATAATGTGATCCAAGCTTTAAACTAGGAAGGGGAAGATATTCACTCCGTTGGAAAGAACAAGTATAGACGGACATGGGTGTACTTTATATTTCCAATTGGCGCCAAATAGCAAAAGTAATAAGTACGTCCCATGTCCCATGCGACTAGGAGGATATTATAAAAGTCAAATTCACACAATTTATTCAAATAAAATCAAATTAAAGACGCTCTCAATGGTTCGCAGAGGCGACCACAACTGGCATTGCGGAAAAATCTTAAGTTAGGAATGGGCGTCTCAAGCAAAACCTATTATTTGCATTAGTTGACACAGGTCTAAGAAGCGATTTTGACTCTTCAATTAAGTGGGAATTTTCCACCAAACAAAAAATGTCCCGTGCAACAGATATTAAAGACATTATTACATACCTATATGTTATTATATTTATATGTATTTATTTATGTGAAGTGTAACGGAAATTGTAATCACATATAATCAACTTATAACTTCTAATTTTAGTGAATTAAAATCAACTGCACGTGTCATTCATTCTAATGACAATGGACAATTTGCTATTTCACATATAAATATACATACATACATACATCTTAGTACAAAAAAAAAAAACACCGGTGAATATTATTTACTGCTCAAACAAGCATGAATAAAAATAGAATCGTTGTCATAAACTAAACTAAAATCCATGCGTGTTGACACTTGTCTAATAATTTATCAAACAAATATGACAAATACCCGTTAGAATGATTGTTTTTTTAACGAACAGCAGTTCGTATTTTTAGATGCAGAAAAATATTTACCAAAATTTAGCAACTACATATGTATGTTTATATATGTACATAAGTGCTAAACACATTTGTTGTGGCGTAATTATACATAACTACCTTTAACTGTATTTCCTTACAAGACGAAAAATATTAATTCTCTTGTCTGAATGAAAATTGGCAACAAAGCAAAGGTCATTAGGAGGTCTATTGATTTCAGCATGAATGAAAACTACTTGAGGTTAGTTCGGATGGAGTTCTGTGACAGTTTGAATAAGATTTTTATTAGATTTAATTTTTATAAACTATCAGATCAAAAAATGTGAGAGCGAAAGAAAAGTTTTCCCCCTTTAGTCTAGGCAATAGCTTTTCTATGCTTCAGATATCAAGCAAATCGAACTATAAATACGATCTTTCCCAATTGCTCTCCACATTAAAGCCAACTACACGAGTTCCCCACATTAAGTTAAACCGAACCAACGTGTCGAACCCAGAGTCACATAGCGTAGGAAGAAGTATTCCCCATGGCAGTTTGGGCAAAGCGTTACATTTATACCAAATTTCATTTAAATCGGTTCTTGAACACAAAGCTATTACTGTATCACGAAATGTTATTTAAGTCAAACGGCAAATACAAATTTTTCTAATAGATCTGTTCCCCATCTGGTCCACTTATCGGAGAAAAAACTCTTCTGTCAATATATCGCTCTCAGATCCACTTCATGGAAAATCCTTTCTTATAGGGGACATACGTCATACTCTCCAAGTTTCAGATTTTTACAATCAGTAGTTTATAAAATAGTTTAGGCTGTGGATTGATTCATCAGTCTATCAGGACAGAGATTACTTTCGGGTTCCTCACGGCTTTCCATTTACCAAAACAGCAAAGATTTTTAGAGTTATTTGTATTTGCTGGAGACCCAAGTTTTTTTAGCTTTTGAAGAAGAACTATTTCTACGACTGCAACTCTTCAACCAGAAGCAGCGAATTCCGGCACAAAAATATTTGTCAAAGCGGATATGATAATATAGATGGAAGGCATGTCTCCAGTATTCTACATGTGCGTATGTTCCTAAGCTCTAACATCGACTTTATTCACTTCACAGTAGGTTCGGCGTCGGTGAACAGTTATCACAGCACAACAAGTTTTCTTCTCAACAAGAGCATTTCCTTTCTAAGAGTACTCATTTTCTACTCGAAATAAGGAAACTATGAATTGGCATCTTAACCTTGGTTTTCGACAACAGCGGGAGCAGAGCTGGTACATTTGAGAAATTTCGAACTGCCCACCTCGCACGTTGCCCCTAAACTGCCACAACTTACAGAAGGTTTCAGATCAGAGAATATTTATAAATTAGCCAAGCAGGGAACCAATGGCCAGTGCATAGTAAGTTTATGGACGGAGCACTTCTCTGTTCTGCTGAAGCGCAGCTCAAATGTAACATCAGAAGATGGCATAACCAAATCTCCAGTCGAAGGCAATAATTTGTACAATCCATCAGCTATTGTCCACTTGAAGAATAAGGAAACCGGTTGCTTCTTCTGTGCACGACCACTTAGAGTACAATCAGCGAGATTCTCGGTTGCCTTTTCACTAGCAGGCCGAAGGAGTACCGGCTCGAATTGAATATGAAAGTTGATGAGGTATAAATACACTCAGTTAAAAAGTGCAAGTTACGGGGAGTCACTTTGGGCACCCTCCTTACATGATTGCGATTGCTACCAAAGTACAGAGTCTGAACAAAATGGAAGCAACTGAGGGAAGATAAAGAAAGAGAGAGAGAGAAGGACGCAGTTGAAGAAGTTACAAAACTTGCCAAACCAATGCCTTGAGCATTGTGACGTGATACCCCTAGACCACTTAAACAACGAAACATCTATGCTCTCAGGTAAAGAGTTACTAATGTTATAACCCGATGAGTGTTACCGTATAGACCATCCTAGTAGACACTAAAAGTACAATACGTCAGGGTGTGAGGAACTTGACTTAAAAGGACTCTATTCAGCACCAGAAAATACAACCGCTTGACAGGTTAGCATCCAACCACCCAAGACCCAAGTAATACAGCCACAGTTATAATTTGCGTTCTGTAGTCTATTAAACTTCAACCCAGACTACGCATGACACTTACCACCTCATTTCATGTCCCTTAAAACCAAATCATCGAACACTCCTCTTTCTCTGGTCCTATACCTCTTGAAAGAGATTGTTTCGTGGAGACTTAAACTGATTTCGTCAGCTGCTGGGCGGGATTTTCTAACCGGGATGCAACAGCAACAGCATTTCCAGTAGCGAGAACGCTATCCTTATAACTGATATATTTTGTATACCTTTCATATCTAAAGCATATAAAGCCCAGAAGAAGAAGAGGAAGAGATCAAAATGACAAGCTGAATTGATGTAGCCATGTCCGTCGATTCGTCTTTTTGTACGGACCTTAAATAATTCCTTCGTTTTTCGGGACCGATAAGGTGTTATATATAAACGATTATTTTTAGGAACTGACCATATCGGAACCCTACCGATTTGTTCAGATATGAGATTTTTAGTTAGAAAATCGTAAAAGAAAAGTATCTAAGAGTGTGAAATTTGGTATTCTACATTCATATATACAAATAAACATAGAAAACGTAAATGAACGAAATCGGTCGACTATATCGAATCCCCCCCCCCCATACGATCGATTCGCTCAGATATGAGGTTTTGGGTCAAAAAAACCGTCTCTGAGCACATAAGGTGGTATTCAACATTCGTATATACAAATAAATATAGGCACCGAAAATCAACGAAATCGATGGAATATAGCGTATCCCTCCCATACAACCGATTTGTTCAGATATAAGGTTTTGGGTCGAAAAATCCGTCAAAACAGTATTTAAGAGTGTGAAATTTGGTATTCTTCATCCGTATATACAAATAAACATAGAAACCGAAAATGAACGAAATCGGTCGACTATATAAAGTCACCCCCATACAACCGATTCGTTCAGGTATGAGAATTTGGGTCAAAAATCCGTCCAAAAAGTATCTAAGAGCGTGAAATTTGACATTTTTCGTACGTAAATTCAAATAAATATTGGTATTGACAGTCATCGAATTTTGATTTTTTATTTTTGTTTTTAGTAATATTGAGCATTTCATGAAAGAATAAAGACTACGGCATAGCTTGAAGACAGCATATCCTTCTGGTTTCATTTTAAGAAAGCTCAAAAGCTCATTATGCATAATTTGCAATATTTTTATTTAAACATATAATTAACTTCTGACCGACTGACTTCTTACATGACAATAATTGTAAGTGGCTTAATTTCAGTTTGAACCGATTATAATATTTCTTGCTTTTTTAGTTTTTTTTTATGGAAATGAACTATATACTGCTAATTGCGAGAAAAATAAATAAATTACAAAATTCAAAACAATTTTCAATATATTTCCGCTCGTTTTGTACTTGATAAGGAGCAATTAGTGCTAATTATTCGAAAATAATAAATATTTATAATTGAAAAAAAAAAAAATAAAATAAAAAAAAAATAAATGAATATAGGTATAGAAATATATTAAATATATATGTATTATATGTATGTATGTACTTGCACATTAAGTAAAATCAAGCTCATTGTGTACTGTCGCGCGTTGCTGATTTCTCGCTTGTGCCCACTTGGCAGGCAGGCAGGCCAGCAGTGAAAGCTTTTCAAATTAAGAATTTTTACTTCAATTGGAAAGAAATGTTTGCGAAAAATGCAGATTACTGGCGATTGTTGTTGTTGTTATTATAAAATTTTGTGCACATTGTTTGGCAACTTTGTACATACATACATAAGTACATATGTACATGTATGTATGTATGTATGTACGTATGTATGTATATATTGGGTACTAATCAACCAATTTCGACGATTTTAATTCCTATATCAACAATTAATTTTTATGTCACAGATAAGTATATATTATGTGTGTATGTATATATGTATTTACATGTACACCAAGAATATGACATGTGATCGTGCAAAGGGGTAGCAATCATCATTGAGACTAAAAACACTAAATATTTGTATGACGAAACTTATCTTCATATGTAAACTGGCCTTTTTACATGCTTACAATACACACATAGATACGTACATACATATGTACATATTCGAATTTGAGTGTTCTGACACTTGAAAACCTTTTATTTCATTCTCGGTTGCATTGTCGGCATAATTTTCTACACATACACAATCAGTGTGGAGAGTCAAGTTCCGTTTTCAAGGTGTTAAAATACGTAATGTTATAAAAGAAGATATGTGAAACACATGACATATATGAACATTCATACACATATGTATATGCATGGGCATATGAAGTCAGAATATTTTAAATATATTTATGTATGTACACAATTTTTTTTTTTACCAAATTGCTTTTAGATGTCAGCACACACACACACACACACACACACACACACAAATATGTACATACCGTATGTACATTTTAACAATCTGTTCGCAGTTAAGAGTGTAGTAAATATTTGAATATCTCATTTACATTTGCATTTGTTGAATAACTTGTACATACATATGTATGTATGTACCCGTACTAATTTTTAACTAGAGTGCTACTAGTTTGCTTTTTTACACTCGCTAGTTCATATTCTGCCTCTCTCCCATAATTTTTTTAGGAACTGTATGTAGGATGCGATGGGGATGACGAAATGTCATCAGCCTGATACTAGTTAAATACTAGTTCACTTATGAATATTGAACATCATATCGCATCATCCATTATTGGTGATTTACGAACAAAAAGCGAACTTGTATAATTTCAAAAATAATATAATTTATTGGGTGTATGCAGTAATTCGTGCGTCTTTTTTCGAAAATTAAGACTTAATTGTGAACAAAATGTTTAATGTTCAAAATATTGTCCATCGAAAGCTACGATGTTTGCTCATCTTTCTGACAGTTTGTGGATGCCATCCTAAAAGAGCTTCTCCGGCTTGGAGATCAAGAAAGAATAGAGCCAATTTCTGTTACCCTGTTCTGAAGTGAAACGTACTCCGGTGACGGTATTCTGCATTGATCTGAACAAGTGGTAAACGGAAGGTGCTATGTCTGGGCTATAAGGCGGGTGAGGTAGAACTTCCCACCCACAGTTTTCCAAATAGTTTTTAACTGGCCTTGCAACATGTGGCCGAGCGTTGTCATGATCAAAAATTATTCATTCGTGTCTGGTCGCATATTCTGGTCGTTTTTCCACGATGGCCTTTTTCAAACGAATCAACTTTTTTCGGTAGAGGTTCCCATTGATCGTGTGACTCGATTTCAATAGCACACCCTTGTGGTCCTACCAAAAACATAGCATCATAACCTTTGCACAATGGATATTCGGCTTTACCGTGGATGTCGATGGTTGGCCGGGCTTGACATACGATCTTTTGCGCTTTGGGTAATCAGTGACAATCCGATGTAAAAATGACTTCTTTTTGTGGTCTTGTAAACAATCTTTCCTTCGGCTCCGAGCCCGTCGAAATAGTAGAAGAATGCTATGACTTGGCACAGCTACAACAACACGAACGCGCCTTCATTTCAAAGACTTTTCATCTTTTTGCTGCATTTTGACAGCGATCAAACTTAACTGTTTCCCAAACATGTTCTGTTTTAGTTAAAAGTCAGGAATTTATGAAAATAAATCGGTTGACAGCCTCATAACGCCTACAAAATTGTTAAAATCTACTCTTCCAATTTGTTGATTCAAACGTGGCCAAGTTTTGTGAGATTATGGTGCACATGAGAGTCCAGCTACTCATGCGATTGGTAAACTTATAAATAAAATTGAGAGATCGGTCGTAAGCATTGTGAGGCCTTTGCAGCATCATCGTTTTGCTCGTTCCACCTCAAAGTCGCTACTCGTGTAAGTGAAAGTGTAGCGGAAGGCCCGAATCTGTCTATTTCTGGACGTTCCCAAGAGGTGAGACTACATCTGAAACCAGCTGACCATTCAAAACCCCATACACACATCGAATGGGCGCTTGAACAACAAGCAGTGGACGGGAATTTTCGAACAAAATTTTTTCCAGCGACGAGGCACATTCCTAAGTCTAGCAAAACGATCTCTTTGGGAGCTCCGAGAATACTCAAGAAGAGAAACTATTACAACAAAAAAAAAGAAATTTACTGTCAAATGCGCCATTTGACCCGAAGTGTGATTGAACCTTACTTCTTTGAAAACGACAACGACGAGACTCTCACTCTTAATTCAGTGTGTTAAGGTCGTACAAAAACCAACAGTTTTGGACCTGTCATTAAAGTAAGCGATGTGGTTTAAACAAGGTGATGCCGCATGCCCCACAATATGAGCAAATATGGCTTTATTGCCAGAGAAATTTTTCGGTAATCGCGTAATCTCTCGCCTTGGCGTTGTCAATTGGCTAACCAAGATTGTGCTATTGAACGCCGTTGGACTTTTTTTTGGCGAGGCTATACAAAGTACCGTATTTATGCGTATAAATCTTTAACTTTTGAGCACTTGAAAACCAACATTCGATCAAGTTATGGCTGAGATACCGCCCAATAGGTATCAAAAAATTTATTAGGCGGTCATTTGAATGATGTAGCGCTTCAAATGTAATGTTGAATTTTATAATAGAAAAAATATTTCATGAAAAAATTGTTTAAATGCTTTTTATTTACCGCAAAATGGCTAACCCTGCACTTTTTTTTTGCATTCGATTTGATTTTATAGCCATGAAAACTCAAAAAAAAACTAACTAAAATATACAAACAGAATATAAAAACAAAAACAAAGATGTTTGTTTTGCAACACCCTTTATTTAAAATTATGAATCCTTTTATTTTAATTTTTTTTTTTAAATTTGTCCCACTAAAAGCTGTCATAAAAATGAAGCATAATATTAAAAAAAAATCTATATATCTTTATATGTATATGTACTTAATTTTGTGATAAGATAAATATTTTTTTGAACAAATACCAAAAAAAAAAATTAGTTACCACCAAGTCATATCAACACAAACGAAATGCAGCATTTTCCAAAAAAAAAAAAATAAATTATAAAAAAGTAAATATATGTACGCACCTGTATTTATGTATATATCTGCTTCAAAGAGTTTTTTTATGTCAAAATTGCAGTTGAACAACAAATTTTTGTATGTAAATACCAAGAATACTTTTCCAATCAATTTCACTTATGCACATACATATATACACATCTAAATAGTACAAAAATAAACGCAGACGCAAATAAATTAATATTTTTGTATGTATTGTTGCTTGTAAAAAGCACAAAGAAAATGAAATTGGTTAAAATTATACAAAAACCAACACACACACACACACTTGTAGATTTTGTGAAAACGCTCGAATGAAACGTAAAATGAAAAGTTCTTGTTGTGTGTCAATAAACTGTGTGAATGAGTTTTCCAATTCGCTCTGTTATTTATGTTTATAATCGTAAAGTGTTGAAACTGCTGCCTTGCTATTATACGAAAATTAAAGCCAACGCATTGTTAGATGTATGTATATATATATACTTTTTTTTAATAGAAGCACACGGCTTATTTGTTCAAATATTAGACACAACCTTTTCACTTTTTTTCGAATATTTCATCAGCGTGGATTTATTTATTAATTATAATTATTTTTAATTTTTTTTTTAATTTTTTTTTTAAATACCTTTAACTATTGTTTTATTTATTTTATTTTTTAATTTTTTCAATATTATTTTGATTTATATATATTTTTTTTTATTCACCTCAATCACTTCACTTTTCAATGTGACGATTTCGTAATCAGCTTGCTGTCGAAATACATATTGTATAATTATTCAAACCACTCAAGTGTTGACTTCAATACTGTTTATTTGCTGTTTGCTGTATATATTATGTTTGTTGTTGTTGTGTTGTTGCTCTTATCAGGCATAAGAAGCACGTTTTATATTCTAGCGCTTATTTGATTTCACTCTGCTTTTAATGTTTCCAGTTTATCGAGGTATTATACTATACAAATTTTTAATACTTTGAGTTACACTGAAAGAAATTTTAGTTATTTGTATTTGAATTATTTTTATAATGACAATTTTACTTGATTTTTGGTATGAAATAAAACACACATTTCTGGTATACTCCCAAAGCAAAAAAAACGAATTTTATTTATTTTTAATACTGTGAGTTACACTGAAAAAAAATTTAATTATTTGAATTTTAATTATTTTTATCATTTAAATTATATTAAATTTTTTTGGTTTAGCATGAAATAAAACACACATTTCTAGTTTGAAATTTAAATATAATAAACTTATACTCCCAAGGCAAAAAAAAAAGAATTTTATTTATTTATATCAATTAAATTTATATATTTTTTATTTATTTTGTAAATTATTTATTTAAATTTAATTGTTTTATATTTATTTATTTTAAATTTGTTTATTTTTTACAAAAAAAAAACTAATATGTAATATATTAAAATAAATCATTTAAAATATTCATTTATTTATATTTGATTATTTTATATTAATTTTACTTTAAACTAATTAATTTTATATTTATTTATTTTTAATATATTTATTTTATATTTTTAATTACAAAAATATTTATTCAATATTTTTAATTAATATTTTTCATATTTAATTTTTATATTTATTTATTTTAAATGTATTTATTTTTTACAAAAAACTTATATATAATTAATAAATAATTAAAATTATTTCTTTATTTATATCTATTTTATTGCATATTTATTTATTTTTAATTTATTTATTTTCCGGTTACTTATTTTTTTTAATTAATTTAATTTACATTTATTTATTTATATTCATTTATTTTACATTTATTTACTTTATATCTATTTATTGTAACATATTTAAAAAATCTAAATATATTTATATAAAATTTATTTTAATTTAATTTATTTTGAATTTATTTTGTATATTTATTTTTCTTATATTTATTTAGTTTACATTTAGATATTTTAAATTTATTTATTTTTGATATAACACTAGAATTTTCAAATTTGTATTCCTATCTATATATTTATTTTATTTATTTATTTAAATTTTTTTTTAATTTTTTAAATAGTAATAAATGTATTAAATTATTATTTAAATTATTTATTTAAAATTAAAAATTGTATACTTATTTAATTTTAATAAATTAATTTTGTATTTATATTTAAAAAAAAAACCAAAATATATTTATTAATTTTTTATTTACTTATTTTATTTTTGTCTTTTATAAAACACTATTATTAAAAAAATATTTAAAAATATGTATTCCTTTATATTCATTTATATCAAATTTGTTTATTTTAAATTTAGTTATTTTATTTTTATTTGTTTGTATTTATTTTGTTCATTTTTTTTTAACTTGTATATTTTATATTTATTTATTTCATATTTATTTATTTAATATTTATTTATTTTATAATTTATTTATGTCATAAATAAAAATTTTACTTTCTTTAAGGTTTAATAAAAAGTAAAGCAGACGTTTCTGGCTTAAGAAACTTATATAAAATATAGTTAAAATTTTTATTTATATATATATATGTATATATATATTAAATTTATTTATTAATTTTTTGTTCACTTTATATTTATTTGTTTTAAAATTATTTATCTTAAATTTAATTATTTATTTTATATATATTAATTTTATTTTCATTTATTTTATATATTATTTATTTTTATAATTAAAATTTTACTTGCTTTTTGGTGAAGATACGAGATGAAGCACACAGTTTTGGTTTAAAAATCAAACAAGAAAGACTAAAACTTTCAAAAACAAATATTAAATATATTAAGGTATTTATATTAATTTTTTTGTAAGTTATGTAATGTATATTTATTTATTTTACATTTAAATATTTTTTTTTATTTTTTTTATTTTGATTTTTTGTTTTATATTAGTTTTATACTCCATTTTAATCAATATTTTATGTACATATGTATGTACAAATGGAGCTGCATCAATTAGAAAATTTAATGAAAGTTTTTTTTTTTTTTGTTTTTATTAACAATTATCTACCCTGCACAAGCGCATAATAACAAAACAAAAATCGGCTCAATGAAAACGAATCAAGTCAATATGTACATAGTAGGTATGTATGTATTTATGTATTCTCATAACTATGTATCTAACTGTGTCGTTGTATCTTATCAGCAACCCCGTAGCGCGGCAAAACTTGTAAACAAAGGCGTGTGTGAGAGAGAAAGAGAAAGAACAAACCTATATTTTGCGTGGAAATTTTTGTAGCAGCCGTCTTGGCACAACAGCACGCAATTATTACAACAGCTGAGCAAAACAAGGAATAGATACAAACATGCATACATACATATTTATGTATAAACTACCTACATATATGTATGTATGTATGTATATATGTAACTATATAATATTAAAACCAATTATACGTAATCTTACAAAAATATAAATCTACATATGTATATAAATACATACATATACTTATATGTATATGCAAAAAGTGAAACAAAGGTTAGCTCTATATGCCTGAACAGTGACTGTAACCCATAGTAAGTGACGTCGTTTATAATTTGACTTGATGCATACATACATAAATATGTATACACATATGTATGTATTGTATTATTTAAGCAATTTTATCTACACTTATAGCAAAAATACAATTATAATACATTTCTTTCTCTTCCTGACTGGCTTTGTGAAGTAAAATATTTTTCTTTATTTATTTACAATGACATTTACAAATGTACATACATATATGTATACATACATACATATGTGCAAACTTATTCCAATGTAAATCTGTCCGAAAAATGCGCATCTAATATCTAATGTCACATTAATAAATTTTGAACTTTTCATATTTTTATCTAATTTTCATTCATTTGTGTCTTTTTTTCCATTCCCTTCCACTATTCTTTACTGTAATACACTGCCACTAATCAAACTAAACATTTTTTCCGCCCAAATGCATACATACATATATACAAGTAATGTTTCGCATTTTTTCCTCTCTCACATTATTTTATAGGGGGCAAATGAGTTTGCTTTTTATTTGTTTTTTTTTTTTTAATTTTTTTTTATAATTTTTTCGCTTTTATTTCACATTACACGCACTAATTTTACACATTGCTTTTGTTTTGTGTTTTCGCACTGTTTTATGTATTTCGACCGGTCTTTAAGTCCGACAGTATCAGCACGCTCCCTGGTTGTCTAGACTGATGTAATGGTGGGTTGGTGGGTTGACTGTTTGATTTGGCGGTGGGGTGATGGCGTTGTGTCACCATTGACACCGAAAAACAGCTGTTCACCGTCACTTTAACGCTTTGGTTTGTTTGGCAATATAAATATGAACATTTCTTGGTACATAGCAATGCATATATACATATATTTAGTTTCTTAGCTTACAACTCTTTTAACACGTTCGTTTGTTTAACAAAAATTTTTGCACGATATTTGAAATATTTATGAATATTAATTTAAGTTTCATTTTTTTATATTTTTTATTTAGTATAATACACGTTTTAGGTTATAATTATTTACATTTGCTTTGATTTGTTTTTACTTCAAAGTTAAATTTATTTATTTATTTATTTTACATTTTTTTATTTAGCTAACTAGGTATCTGTGTATTATATGTACGTTTAGTTTTCAAAAAAAAATATTAATTTGTGTAGCGTTTAGTAATTTTAAATCTGGTTTCGATGGTTTTTTTAATACTTTAAAATAAATCACTTTTTTCAAGTTCCCAGTGACACTTTATATTGAACTTTTATTTAAATTAAAATACGTTTTTAATGCATATAATGTACCAGTTTGTGACGGGTTTTGGCGCGAAAAAAAATTGACAAAATTTATGCGTTTTTGTTTTTAAATATTTTTGCTTGATTTTCAATAAGGTATTTAATTTTTTAACCTTTTCAAAAAAAATTGAAATGTTTTTTGTGCACAATTTCGCAGTTCAAGCGGTTTCATAAATCTCGATTATAATGCTGGAATTTTTTAAATAATTTTATTAAATTTTAGTTAATTTTAATTTATTCCTCGATTAAATCTTTAGTTTTTATGCTGTTAACGATAAAGTATTAATATTATTGGAATTAAAAAAAGTTTTTTAAATCTTTAATTATTTTTAGTCGCTTTTAAATCAATTTTAATTTATTCCTCAATTAGATCTTTAGTTTTTATGCTTTTAACCATAAAATATTATTATTATTGGAAATTTTAATGATTTTCGAACATTTTTAATTTTTTTAATTACTTTTAAATCAATTTTTATTTATCTCTCAATTAAATCTTTAGTTTTTATGCTATAAACCATAAAATATTAATATTACTGGATATAAATTTTGGAAATTTTTAATTATTTTTAAAAACATTTAAATAAATTTTAATTTATTCCTCAATAAAATTTTTGGTTTTTATGCTGTTAACCATAAAATATTATTATTTTTGGAAATTTTAATGATTTTCGAACATTTTTAATTTGTTTAATTACTTTTACTTTATTCCTCAATTTTAAATTATTTTTAAAAACTTTTAAAACAATTTTAATTTATTCCTTAATTAAATTTTTAGTTTTTATGCTGTTAGCCATAAAATATTAATATTAAATTCTTATGACGTTAAAAATGTTAATTGTTTTTGTTAATCTTTTTTTAGACAATATCTAAAAATTATTTTATGTGTATCGTTACTTAATTTATACGGTTACTTTTAATAAAACTGCTGTCATATCTCTTGTGTATGTATGTACATACATATATGTATATGCTGAGCAGAATATATATTTAACCAAACGCCATTGCATTGCAGTTCCTCATTTATTTTTTCTTATTTATAGAAAAAAAATATAAAAAAAAATCATTAATCATAATTTATAGCCCTTTGCGCACATTTTGCAATTTTTTTTTATTTAAAACTATTTCTTTTCCAATAAATTTTCAAATTAATTCTATAACTCTCTCTCTTTTCTCGCACTCCATCTACACATATACAGGCATATTTTCAATGCTTAAGTTGCATAAACACGCACATAACATACATATGTACATAGGTACATATGTATGTATGAATTTATTTGTATACACGAATTTATCAAGAATATTTAAGTAGCAATTTTATAATGCTGCTTTTTCTTTAATTTCACATACATTTTATTTTACATAAAAATCTATGTACATATGCATAAATGTACAATTACGCTGCTCAACCGAATCACGAAAAATATTTGGCTGAGCTTTGATATGCAGCCCCACTTGATATTGTAAGCAAACAACCAGGAATTTCGACATGAAACTTCGTAGGAATGATGACAGAAATATATTTTTCCAATATTTTAACTTTTGGAATTTGAATATATTAAAGTTTATAAGTTATTTGTTGTTATAAAGTGTTAACTTTATTCCATTATTTCTTTATGAATCGGTCACTATTCTTTCATTTTNAGTCCGGCAACTCCAATGTAGACGTAATTTTGCATTTATTACTCGAAATTTAAAATAGAATTATTAAAAAACTATAAGTCAGCTAAATAAAAGAAAATTAGTTTTAGAATCTATGATTTTTCCTCTTTCCATCCATATAAAATTTATTTGCGAAAGCCTGTGGCTCTAAACAAAAATTTTACCAAATATTTATTTAAAGTATTGTAGGTACATATTTTTTGTTAATTCGTTAAATTTTCTACTTCACTTGCATTTTATTTTTTTTTTTTTTCAAATTTATTTTACTCTTATTTGCACATAAAAGACAGTAAAAAAAAACTGAATAAGCTGCTTATAGATAGTGGATAAGAGATAAATTAAAATGCAGCAATTTTGCAGAAAAATAGCATTTATTTTAACAAAACTTTTTCTCCACTTTGTCAGAGCAAATGCTTGGCGCATAAATGCTTACGAGAGCGAACGCTACACGATCTCAGGCGCAATGTCCGACCGAATTTGCACCGTATTAGTTTTGCTAAATTTTAGCACAATAATTTCATATCTTTTTCAATTTTAATTTTTTTTTATTTGCTTTCACTTTTGCTTTTTATCAAAACCGCATCCCGTGTTTTATGTACATACATATTTATATCGAAATAAACACCAATCAAGAGAAAAACAAAAAAACACGAATTACAACAGCGACAAGATTACTGTGCGTTTACGCTCACTGCCAGTTAGCTAAGTACTAAAGTCGCACACTTGCAAGCAATTGCCCCGTTTCCAAGTTGTTTTCATTTCTTTTGTCTTCTGTCACACAGCAGCGTTTGCCCCACTGCCACTGCCGGCACAACTCTTATTGTAATTAATATTCTTCACTACTCTTCTTAGCTCTCGGCTGAGTTAGCTGTTGCACTAGTAAATACCTTAATTAAGGCAACTAAATACACAGCATTTAGAGCCTCCGGTTGGCCCACAATAGCAATAGCAGCAATATCACTTAGAATTCAAATGCTTTCCTAACTTCTGTATGTAGCTAATGCTATCGGTGTCTACTTTTTAGAACGTTTTCTTGTTTAAGCAATTAAACTATGTACATACACATACATATAAATGCATATACATTTGTTACATACATACAATTTTATAGATCGAGATCTGCTGCTTCTGCTGCTGCTACTTATATTTATTACTTTTTATTAGTGCTTTACTAGTCTGCCACTTTCATGCTCCAGTGTTCGCTAACTTCGTTCCGTTTCAATGCTTTCGTTTCTCATACGTTTTCATTGCTTCTCCACCATTGTTTCAATTCCAGTTCCAGTTTATTTCCAAATGTCAAAATGCATATATTTTTCATTCGCCAGACAGCGCGTGTTTTGACAGCACAGTTACTCACAGCTGGCTACTAGAGTGACTAGAGCTCTTGCTCGTCATCCAAACTCGTTACACACCATTCACTCCCCTCGTTTTCAGTACAACAGCAACAGCTATCGCATATGTAAACAGAAGCAAAAGATGATTGGCCTTTGTCGTGTATACGCTGTGCTTAGAGCTCACATTTGTTTACAAAATGTACATATGTATATACGAGTACGAGTGAGTATGCATGTGCATGTGCACTCATGGATACATACAAGAGTCAATACTCGTTCTTCTGTGCTTTTACTTTGTTATCGCTTATTCCAGCTTTTAGCTATTAGTCAGCCCATCAGCTGTTTTTTGTGTTTCATATGGCGGCGGCCATAATTTACTTTGTTTACATTTTCTTTGGAATTCTACTCGCTGGTTTTGCGTTTTATTTTCAGTTATTTCTCAGAAAGATCTCTCACGTTTTCACCAGCGAGTTGAAGTTGTTTAGGGTGCGTTTACACAAAATTATCCTTAAATGCATTTGGTTTTTAATAAAATATAATATATGTATATATTTTTAAGACTCCGAAGTTATCGTTTCTTCACCAGGAGTCAGTGCCTTCAAAAATCTCCCTCCCTATGAATGGCGACCTTGAAGTCAAATAAACACCCATAGAAGATTATGAGCTCGAGCTGTCTAACTCATGCAAGCAAGTCATGAATTTACCCGTGGGAAGACATACCTGTCCTAATAGGCGACATTTGGATCTTTGTGTCGGAACGACGCAGATTTTTATCCATCCAGGGACTACCACTCTTGCAATATTCCCCTACAATTAGTTCGGGGAATTTATTTCGGTTACCTCAACATAATACTGGCGCAACTTAGATCTGGATATTGTAGCAGGTTAAACTCCTACCTATCCAGACTCGACACCGACATACCTAGGGTACAAGAGTCCGGCATGTAACGAGTCCCAGCATGACATTAACCACCTCTTTATATGCCTACTAAAAGCGACACATCTAACCCCCCTCTACCTTTAGTCCGAACCCGTCGAAACTGCACTTTTCCTGGACCACCCGATTGATGATCTCGGTGACTTACACTAACTAGCCAGTCTCTAAACGGGTTGGGAAAATAGCCGCTATAACAACAACAACAATAACAACAACAACAACCGCTACTAGCGGGCATTAAGGAGTCCTTATCACCGCCAGTGTTGAAGAGGTGGACCAAGAACTATCTGACAGATATCGAAACTCAGAAAGAGCAAACAAGGGTTCCGCAGAGTGGTGTCCTTTCGCAGCTACCTCCTCCACCACGGGTTTCACTGATCTCAAATGCCGACTTTGGCATCTGGCCAGGATATTCATGACTTATTTTAGAAAATGAACTACTACCTCGACGAACTTTTCTACTTCTTCACTTCAACAAACTCCTCGGATACCTTCTTCACAAGCTGGACGAAGAAGTACCGGCTTGAAACCGATGTGAAAGTCAATGGCGTAATAGTTCCGACTATAAACAACTCAAAGTTACTAGGAGTCACATTCGACAGCCTTCATCTCTTTCACTCTGAGTACGACTGCAATTGTCCGATTGCAAAACTCCACAGCCGGAATAAAATCCTTAAAGTGTTAGCTGGAGAAAAGACCAAAAAGAAACGTTGCTGGCAATCTATAAGGCAATTGGCCGGGCGGTCGAAAACCACACTGCGAGATACAAATAAAGAAGCTACAAGTCTGCCGAAACACCACACTCAGGACCGTGACAGGAAATCTTCTGGTGTCGACGGAGCATCACTTGATCAGAACTCATTTATGCTACGAGGTAAGCAGCAAAGTTCTTTGCTGTGCAAGCAATTTTTACTGGGATGCTCCCATAGGGAGCAGCTCAACGAACACTTACTAAAAGCTGAACCACCACCCAGGCACATAAAAAGAGGAATATTTGACCTAAAATATTTTACTCAGTACCACTTACAAAACCTGCTTACCGACAGGCATTGAACGCGATTCACCGAGAGTCCGTCAACACCTTCCTGAACTCTCTTAAAATGAATGATATTCTCGTAGTCAATCTACCACCTATTGCCTACGATTAGCTCGGGATGCCAGACTTAACCCCGACATACCCAGCACACCATGCAGGTCATAGCATGCACTCTCCGAAACCACTGAAACAACTCGTCTCTTGGACCTCCTGCTAGATGGCCTCGATGACTGCTTTAAAGGGAGGTTTCCAACAACAACCAGAAGTTGTTTTTTAAACAGAGCTATGTGAAACGCAAGGAGAAACCTCCAACCGCCTACAATATCATTAAACGTCTTTGCTTCCAGTTAAACCACCCCAGGGCCTTCAGGAGGACCTATGTATATTTGCTACATTTGGCTTTAGTTAAAATAACCACGTCCAACCGACATCCCCTGTCGTATGAGGCGTCAAAAGTGCAACAGTTCCTGCAACCATTCAGTATTGATACCAGAACGACCCGTTCTTTTTTACCTATCCAAGGACGGTCAAACAATATGTCTCAAAAAACACTTTGGGGGAATACATTTACGGCTACATCAGAGTGCAACCGACAATTAAACACCATACACAGAGATTCCATCAACCTCTTCTTTAGCGCTTTTCCCGTGAATGGCGTAATCACAGCCTATCCACTGACTGTAATAGACGAGGAGCTCGAGCTGTCTCACGCAATTAACATTTGGCTACTATAGAAGATTTGACTCCTACCCATCCAGACTCGGTTTCCCGTTAGATGATATTTTCTTACATCTACAGAAATTCCCATGTAATCCGCAGCGCTGTATGCTTTACAGTTAAATAGTTTAGTAGAAACTCTAAAAAATTTGGGTTTCCAGGTACATAATCGAGGGCATATAATCAATATAAAATCAGCTTCGAATGGCTCCTTATGCACCTAGCTGCTGAGTACAGTTGCTCTTCAATAATATCATACACCCCGACACACATATATTGTATGAGCAGCACTTACCTGTTCAATATCGAAATCCCATTCCGGCGAAGGTGAACGCAGCGCACCACCCGCTGGTGGTGTGCCCTGCGCCGGAGAACCTTGTGGTTCCTCGGGTATGACAGCAAAGCGACCACGATGTAATATCGGCGAAATAGCGCCATAATTAGCTGAAAAAATTCGAAAAAAAAGACTCACATTACTGAAGTGAACTATGTAGAAAGCTATTGTAAGTTTATTGAAAGTTGTCTGCTGGTTCCTCATGTAGTATAGAGCAAGCAGAACTAACAGTTGAAGGAAATTGCTCATTTCTAACAAGGTTTCTGGTATTGTCCAGGGTCAGTTTGCAAAGTTTTTTGTGGACATCATTTAAATCGACGAAGCGGTAGGGTGTGTCAATTCCTTTCCCACTGGTCTTTTTCAAATCTACTAGGCTCTAACTTACTACGGTATCTACACCTGAGTTATATTATTATTAGGCTGAACTCTCGAGTTAGCTGGAGCTCTTCATATACTATAGGTTACGGTTTGCATCCAAAAACGCCAGATACAGGGAGAGAGTTTATGATCGTGTGGACGCACTCTCGGTGAATGGCGTTTAATGCATGCAGAGTGACAGATCTTGAACGGATAAAATCCGTGTCAACTCCGGTGCGTAGAACCGGCTATTGTAAGAGTTGTAGGGAGCGATAATTGGAAAACCAATTTTTTATCAAGCGGCAGTGCGTAGGGAGCTTGAAATATCGTCCCACAGTTCCATAAGTTGCTGGTAAGCCGAGTAGAAAACTGGCTGGCTGTATGCTGAGATTACAGGTTCTCGACATCGAACATTCCTTGTGTTTGTTGCTGTGCGTTCTTTGCTGTGGAGAGACGGATGCCTATCTTCGCGACTTGGTCTTTTTTTAGACAAAAGAAAAAAGATATTACTCCGCAAACTCGAATAATTGATCCACAGTACCAATAAATGTAAACGGGCCAAGGAATGTTATATTGAAAATACTGAACTTGTGTAATCTCCCATCGTGTATCGTTTTACTAAGCAATGTCTGCTGAGCGCCATTTTAACTCTATTCTCTAACCTACAACTCAATACAACTACAATATGTGTATACACGTACATTTAATTATATTATATACATGTATATTGCATGTACTTACACGTAGGCATTAGACGAAATCGTCCGAAGGTCGTCTCTGGTGGTCCTTGTGCTGCCGTTGAGGTCACATGAAAGCGACCCCGTCTGGCGGCGGCCACCTCCTCGTAGCCATTGCCACCTCCGCTGCCACCAGGCATTTTGCTCTTGCTGCAGGGCTCAGACTATAATTGAATACAAACAAATATATAAGTTACCGTTAAAAATGCAGGTGAAATATAAGAGGATTTTATAATTAAAGAAATGAATGTGCATGAACTTGTGTTATTAGTGATGACCTTATTATTATTATAAACGAGTAAATATTGATGAAAGTTCAAGTGTAGGTTTCTTTTTGTAGCGGAGATCTTCTAATTAAGGAGGTGGATGAGAAATTTTCCAAAGCGTTATATGTAAGGTTCAAAGTTTCACGCTTCGTTAGATAAGGTAAGGTTAGATTGGTGTTGACTGACTGCTCTCTCTTTGAGAACTATATTGGTAATCAGTTTTGAAAAATCTTTGAGCTCGAAAAAACCCTAAGTGTGGAGTCCTAAGTTCGGGCATGCAGTGCCACTGTATTAAAGAGGATGTGAGAATCAAGCTGATTCAAACTTAGTCCCAAAGCATTAATGCAATCTAGGAGAGAGTGGTGAGTTAATTAAACCAGTTCATAAAATAAGGTTTCGGCTGGAGTTTTAACTACTCTGCCGGTATTTTAATTAGACATTCTGACAACAGAACATCCACCAAATACGAGAGCTGCTACTTATGGAGTGTAAGAAGATCCCCATCTATTAGAATACACATCGACAAAAAAAAAAAAATCGCGACGTCTTAGTTCAGCTCATTACAAATCCATACATCCAAGAGATGATCGCTGATCGCTGATCGGTAGAGGCAATCCCATTCCTATTATGTGCGATTATTTCAATTTATCTTCTTTTCTACTGGCGTCGACATCGCTTATATAATTATAGCCGAGTTAACAACATTGTGCCATGCATTTCTTTGGAAATACCAAGTACATTCAGGTCCTTCTCTACCTGGTCTTAGCATAGGGTCTTCTTCATCAGCTGCTTTCACCGCCGAGTACTGCATCGAAAACTTTCAAATCTGGATTATACTTATTCATCTGGGCCACATAACCTAGCCAGCCTAGCAACTGTTTCTTAATTCACTGAACTATGAAAATATCGCCACTTATCTTCTGCAGTTCATCATTCCGTCGCAGGCGAAACCTTTCTCTCGAAAACTCCTAATGCCCACTCATCAGATCAGATTGTCATTGTCCATGCCTTCGCCTTGTAGAGTTTGGTCTTCGTTCGTCGGGAGAGGACTTTACTTTTCAATGGCACACTCAATACAAAATAGCAGCTGTTGACAAGAGCAGTTCCGCGTCTACAGTGACATGAGAGCCGAGACGCGAATGTGACGAGTGTTTGTTTGATTACAAGAGTTACTTCACCTTGCATTCAGTTTATCGCCTTTACTTTAGACTGGTTCCGCTCGGACGGTGTCTTCGGCTTGTTAATAATCATTTGACACTTTTGCGGAGAGGGAGTTGAACGTTACTTTAGTGGTATTACTACGATCACAGCATCATAGGCCATATTAGCCACGTGATTATCGGAATATACGTTAATCTTCTCAACCGAAATAGCGCTCGGAAACATTAGACCAACAAAGATAATTCGGGTGGAGAAATATTACTACACTTAACTGAAAGCAGTAGCACTAAGGAGCCGATTGTGAGTTTACGATTTACCTAGCACACCCTTCTTGCTGTATAATTACTTCGTGACGGGATAAAGATGACAATGGGTTTGGTAGACTTCAATTCGTATTGTTAGAGAAATGGATACACTTTCCACTCTAATACGTCAGAGGGCAAATAAGAGATCATAGCTCCGCGTTTTTGCTATTCAGAGGCGTTATTAGAGTAGATCCAAATCTGTTATTACAGACAACCATATTTGCGTGCGACGGGGCAGCTAGTCAGACCCAACCCATTACGGAAAGTGTCGCTGGGGAAACCGAATTTCTTAAGGGTTTCCCCTTTTCTTTCGTTATCCGTGGTCGTGTTTTCATGGTGCCAATCTTTGACGTCACGGCTACTCACCTCGTTGTCTTATACGAGTAAAAATAAGTATTGTATTTAAGCCTTAAAGCGCACATTTTCATGCTTACAACATACATACACGTATGAGTGACAAAACAAATGTTGTAAGACCTTAAAATATTTTTACTACAATAAAAAACCAACAACAATATACCACAGTTCAGTTAAGGACACACCATTACCAGCACCAACAACAAACTGCAGACTTAGCAACGCGCCTAATGAGCAACAGACATGCGACCGTATCGTCGTTTGTTTGCTTTACGTTTTCAATTTACATTTGTTTTCTCTTTCTTAGCCTAGAAAATGGCAAACAAAAAAAAAAACGGAAATAGAAAACTAAATAGTTCGAAGATAAAATTGCGCGACGGAAATAGAAATTGCATTGCGAAGGAAGATGGAATACACATTTTTGGATGGAGCACTCTTTTCAGCTGTTCTAATTTACGAGGGTGATTCTGCATACAGTAGTGTGCAGTGTGGGATAGATACCGAGAATTGAGAAGGGAAGCATGAATCTTATCTAGACGAAGAAAGAAAGAGGCCAAAATGCGTGCATAAGAAAACAGAAAGTCTTAAGACCGTAGCATTCTCATGAAGGCCGGGCTGGACATGAACCCTGATAAACCGAGATGATGTTATTTACCAGGAGTTACAAACTTCATGTCTTTAAGCCACCCAAACTAAAGAGCGTGGAGATCACCCACACTGCCGAAGTCAGATACCTTGGGATAATCAACTTGAGCCTGAATACGGCAGAGAGATCAGGGAACTGCACTCTAAGCCCGCAAAACGGCGATAAGAAAGAGATGCATTTGATATACACATCGGTAGTTAGATTAATCCTGTTTTACTGAGGCACCGTCCTGGGGCCGGCACTCGATAAAATCTTCTTCAGGAGCAAATAAGAGAAAGTTCAACGAGCGGCGTCAATCCTGAGAACGGGAGCACTGCCACCAACACCCTTGAAAGCACTGCTGACTCTTCTCAACCTCCTTCCTCTTGACCTACCGGCACGTTGCAACGCAATAAGATTGAATTCAACTCAAGCATGGAAGAATTGGAGTATAGGTCAAACAAAAATATTATCTCTTACAGAAGTGCCGAAGGAACTGGACTCCACCTCCAGTGTATGCTTCGATAATCTTTTCTCCACAAAAATTCCAAACAGATGCGAGTGGGAAAACACCGACACCAACGCCCCCGACCAGGGAGCAATAGCCATTTTCACAAACGGCTCGAAGCTTGATGGGAGTGTGAGACGCGGAATTTATTCTCCCGTGTTCTCAGTAAGCATGAGCAAGAGAATACCGGATCATCGCAGCGTTTTCCAGGCGGAACTCTTCGCACTCACGGAGGCCGCGGAAAGGTTGTACAAATCTATGGCAGCAGGACAATCGGTTACAATTTACTCCCATAATCAGGCTGCAATCAGATCTCTTCAATGTCAAAATGGCCATAAACTGTAGAAACACTCTCAACAAACTCTCAACGAAGTACAGTACAGTACGTGGTCTGCGTAACTGGACACAGGAACATCCCAGGCAATTGCAAGGCAGACGAACTAGCAAAAGAAGGAACTCTTCTATCTACGATAAAATACCTACATGATGCTGGCTTAACTCTGTCCAAGGCTAAGTTTATGCTCGAACTAGCCTTCATCAGGGAAGCTGACTCACGATGGTTGAACGAGATTACGTGACCAGACAGCTATGGCCGAAGTTGGACCACAATAAAATCTAAACATCTTATCCTTCTGAACCGGTTCTCTGGACGCTGTTTAATGGGCTTTCTCGGCATTGGTATGGGCTTTACTCTAACGATTTCAGCCGCGGCTGTAGGGAAAGAAAGAAGAGGAAGAGACCATCAAGCACTACTTCTGCCACTGTCCAGCCTTGACATGCGCGCGACACAAGTTTCTTGGGAAACATTTCTTCGACTGTCTAGCTGAGTTGACCTTAGTGAACTTTGGAAGACACACGAAATGGTTCGATCATATGAGAAAGTGAAGGTAGGAGCCTCAGCGGTATCACAATGTGCCTATTGACTTAAGTGTGCTGGAGTTGACCAGCAGCTCATGTAGGAACTAATATGGAATTCAGGCGACCGATGTACAGAGCATACTCGGTGAATGGAGGGAACATTTCTCTAGCCTGCTGAATGGCAGTAAAAATGCAACAACCGGAGATGGCGAGCACAAACCTCCAAACGATGATGATGGAAAAGACGTTCGATTACCCGAGTATAACGAGGTTCGTATAGCAATTACCTGCTTAATAGTAATAAAGCGGCTAGAGCTGATAGCTTACCTACTGAAACAGATACATTATCAATTTGATTGGACGATTCTCGAGGAGGAGACAGCTATCTGATGCTACAGAAAATGATATTACGGGCCCTGGAGAAGTCGATCAGCATCAGGTCGTTTGGGGATTTTTCGTAATGGATATTGAATTTATCAATTGTGGTACCGAAATCATCTTCTTTGCCCACCCTAATGTTAAGGTCGTCAGCGACGAGGAGGTCATCTGGTCGTCAGGCGAGGACATCGCTAATAGGCGCCCATAGAAAGCATCCTTTGTCACATCTTCGCTCTCTTCCATAGGGGCGTGGGCGCAAATCAGGGTTGTGTTGAAATCCAGCGGAGTGAACGCCAGCACTCAGCGGCGGAATCCCTCTCCCACCACTAAACCAACACCAAATATGCTCTCATTTATATGGCCGCTGCAGTACACTTCACAAAAACCCATCATATTCTGTCTTTGTTCCGTACATCGCAATACTTGGACGGTGACAATGTCAGGCCTTAAACTCCTAGGATATCAATCCGGAAATCGAGAGCTATGGTTCAATTCAAAATAATCATTTCTGGCCACACCCACGGGTTGACTACAGAACGAAAAATGACGTATGCGTCTCCGATGATTGAAAATGTTGCATGATGACCGAATGAATAACTCGGACTGTCGAACAATAAATTCGAAACCTAACCTAACCTAATTAGATCATATTTAAACGCGCTGCCGCCTTCACGTCTACGAAATTAATCAATTATGACAACACAGG